TTTGGTTAATTCGGAAAATCAAAATTATAAAAAAGAGATATTTTTCTTTTCAAATTAAATAAAATTGCTTAATATTTAAATAGAAATGCATAGCAGTACCTGTAGGCTATACAAAAACGTCATTTTTCTTCCTTGTAATTATTTGAAAGTCATTTTATCGTCAAATGGAGACTTAATTTTAAAAAAAAGGGGTATTGAATATAATAACAAGAATGGAAAGGAAAACAATTAGTCTAGGAGCTCAACTCATAGCCTCATAGGTTCAAGAAGTTAGTTACAGTCGGTTAAAAGTTAGTTAAGTTAGTTACGAGTCATTTATATGGTTATGACTTATGGAGATTTTATTCTTAGAGAAACATGAGATAATCTGCTCTATATAAACTTGTAGATGCTTAAACTTCATACTCTCTTCTTCTTCTTCTTCTCCTCAAATTAATGAATTCTTCTATTTGTGATCTTCATTTCTTCTTGTTAATTGCTTCTAATCACATTGTTCTTATGATGTACATTTGAATTTTTTCATGGTATCAGAGCCGTAAAATTCAATCACTTTAGCGAATCAAAAGTTCTTGTTCTTGTCAATATCTGTCAACAAAATCTTTCTTCGAATCTTGAAGAAGTTTGAGAATATATATTTTGGTAATCTGTATTGAAACAAGCTTTGTTGGTTAATTGCAATCGTCTGAAGATATGACAATCAACAATTCTGAGAATCTAGGAACTACGACTGGTACTTCACCATCTGTTATTCAAGTTGATGCAAATGGAACTCAATATGCACCCGGGGCCATACTAGTCATGGATCATAATCATCCTCTATATCTACACTCGACTGATATAAGTGGCATTTCTCTCATCTCCTTACAATTAACTGGCTCTAAGAATTATTTTTTATGGAGCAAATACATGAGAATAGCCCTGCTAGGAAGAAACAAGTTGGGATTTGTTGATGGCTCTTGGAAGAAAGAAAATTTTAGAGAAGAATTCTGGTACCAGTGGGAGAGGTGTAATGCTATAGTCCAATCTTGAATAATGAACATTGTGTCTAGTAATTTGTTAGGGGAATGGTGTATGCAGATAGTGATCAAGATGTTTGGGAAGATCTGAAAGAAAGATTCAATAAGGTTGATGGATCAAGATCATTTAGCCTACATCAAGAAATTATAAGACTAACTCAAGGAACAACATCTGTGAAAACTTACTTCACAAAGTTGAAAGAGCTTTGGGTTGAATTAGAGGCACTTGTGCCACTACTAAGCTGCAAATGTGATAAATCAAGGGAGTTTGTAGCCTATCTTTAAAGATATAAATTATATCAGTTTCTAATGAGGTTGAATGATAACTATCTACAAGCTAGGAGTCAGATACTTCTAATGACACCACTACCCTCAGTAAACCAAGCTTATGTTATGATAATCAGTGATGAGTCACAAAAGGCTATGGGAAAAATCTCCAGCTCAATTGGTCTATTAGGTGATATGCCTACTGTTAATTCTACTGTTATGTACTCTAAGATAGGATATCAAGGTCAGAAGATCAGGAAAACCAATAACCTGTATTGTGATCACTGCAAGATAAGAAATCACACTAGAGAAAACTGTTATAAACTGAAAGGATATCCTCAAGAATCCAAATTCAAAAGAAAGGGAGGACAAGGTGGTTCATCTGCTGCCTACAATGTGTTCTCAGAAGAAGCCAGTAATCAGTTGACACAGGTTGATATTCAAGGGAACAATAAAGACAACAGAGTATACTATATAGACACATCTGCATAAATGGTTCAAATGAATCAGCTCCCAAGACAGATAACCCAGACTGGAGCATGTGCTTTTATTCAGTCTCAATATGAACAAATTGTGCAACTACTTAATGCAAAGTCAGCACTAAAGTACAAATTTCCATATTGCTTCCTCAGCCAATATAATAGGTAAAGAACCAGGTATTAGCAGCAGTAAGGCAATGCTAGTGTCAAAAATCCTTAGAGACTGGATTATTGACACTGGTGCCACAAACCATATGGTTCTGATATAAGCATGCTAAACAAAGAATTTCTATTAAAAATACAAATTCAAAAAATGTGCAATTACCAAATGGTGATGTATCACAAGTAACACACATTGGCTCTAGCACAATTTCTGATAACAGTACTCTAGCTAATGTATTTCTATCGCCTCAGTTCAAGTATAACCTTATGTCAGTCTCACAGGCAATAAAATAATTAAACTTTGTAGCTATCTTTTATCCAAACTTTTGTGTGTTTTAAGATCTTTGTAGTGGCAAGGTGAAGGAAATTGGTAAGGAGAGTGAAGGCTTATACCTGCTATTAAACAAGTCTACAAGAAAACTTGGAGAAACCAGTCTAAAAGTGCATCAAGTTACTACTGTTAGTGATGATGAAATAAATTGTGGCATATGAGATTTGGCCATGTATCTAGTGCTACCTTAAATAAAATACTACCTGCTAATAATGAGGTTATAACAGAAACTATTAGGAAGTGTAGTATATGTCCATATGCTAAACAATGTAGACTATCATTCCCTACTAGCTCAAGTAAAAGTTTTGCTAAATTTGATCTTGTTCATACAGATGTATGGGGACCTTACAAAGTTCAAACCTTTGATGAAAACAAACACTTTCTAACTATAATAGATTATTTCACTAGAATGACATGGGTCTATTTGTTAAAACTAAAATCAGATGTCAGTATTGTTATTCCATTCTTCCTAAAATATGTTCAAACTCAGTTTAATGTCATGGTTAAAGTTGTTAGATCTGACAATGGTATTGAATTCCTAAATAATGCATGTAACAATATATTCAAATTAGGTATAATACATCAAAGGTCATGTGCCTATACACCTCAGCAAAATGACATAGCAGAAAGAAAATATAGACACATTCTAAAAATAACAAGAGCAGTCAGGTTTCAGGCAAATATTCCTCTAAAATTATGGGGACATTGTGTTCAAACTGTTGTGTATTTGATTAATAGGTTGCCTTCATCTGTGATTAAAGTATCTCCATATGAAGAGATGTATAACAGAAAACCTTCACTCAATCACCTAAGAGTAATAAGATGCCTATGCTATGCCAAGAATCTTGTTGAAACTGATAAATTGCAACCAAGAACAAGGACTGTTGTACTGATGGGATACTCAGAGGTACAAAAGGGTTATACTTTATATGATCTTAATAACAAATATTTTTTTGTCAGCAGGAATATTAGTTTCAGGGAAGATGATTTTCCATTCAAATGGAGTACTACTGAGATTTCAATATTCACCAACACAATGACTGAGATGGTTTCTGCAGATGAACACAACCTACCAAATTTGGAACTATAAGAGTGTTATGACAGAAGAGTGAATGAAAATAATGAGATAGCACAACATGATGCAACACAACAACCATCAGCTATCACCTATCAGTCCATCATTGCCTCCAGCTCAAATCAATCCAGAAATACAATCCATTATAAACACACCTCGGATCAATATAAACACACAACCTCTGATACAAACCACCATAGCACAAATAACTCAACCATTGCTCACTCAGCCTACGACAAGATCAAAACCAAGATCTAAACCCATTAGGAAGTTAACAAGAACTTCAAATCCACCTACATGGAGAAAAGACTGCATATCTCTTAGTCTACATAACAGTACCATTTATCCAATTTCAGACTTCATCTCCTATGACAAAATCTCACCAAAATACAGTGCTTTTCTATCAGCCTTATCATCTATTACAGAACCTCATTCTTATGTTGAAGCAGCTCAAGATCCAAACTGTATTGAAGCAATGCAGTCAGAGATCAATGCACTACAAGAGAACAACACATGGGAGATTGTAATCTTGCCAAAAGGGAAGAAACCAATTGGTTGCAAATGGATATACAAGATTAAGTATAAAGCAACAGGTGAAGTAGAAAGGCTCAAGGCAAGACTTGTAGCAAAAGGCTACAGTCAACAAGAAGGCATAGATTACCAGGAGACATTTTCTCCTATAGTCAAGATGGTGACAGTGAGATCAATCCTATCTATAGCAGCTTCAAGAGGTTGGCATATACACCAAACGGATATGTATAATGCATTCTTACAAGGAGATCTCACTTATGAAATATAGATGGTTACCACAGGGATTTCAGAGTCAGAGGGAGACTAAAGTGTGTAGACTAATTAAATCCCTCTATGGATTAAAATAAGGACCAAGGAAGTGGAATGCAAAATTGACAGAAGCTTTGTTGAGTTTCCAGTTTACTCAGAGCCAATTTGATCGTTATGTATTCATCAAGAGGACAGACAAAATCACCACAGTGGTTTTAATCTATGTTGATGACATGTTGATAACATGTGATAAGATAGATCTTATAGGGGACACCAAGAGTGCACTACAAAAAGTATTTAAGATGAAGGACTTGGGAGAATTAGAATACATTCTAGAGATTGAATTTTCAAGATCAGATAAAGAAATCCTAATGTATCAAAGAAAATATGCATTAGAATTAGTCTCTGAACTTGGACTCTCAGCTGCAAAACCAACAGGTACACCTATGGACAACAATCTGAAACTTACAACTAGGGAATATGATGAATACTTCTCAACTGCTTCACTCACAGAAGATGAAGTCCTAACTAATCGAGGACCATACCAAAGGCTTATTGGAAAGTTACTATATCTCACAGTCACAAGGCCAGACATAGCCTTCAGTATTCAGAACTTAAGCCATTTTTTGCAACAATCAAAAAGGTCGCACATAAAAGCAGCTCAAAGAATAGTTAAATCTATAAAAAATGAGCCTGGCCTAGGTGTGCTTATGTCAAATAAACCACATGATAAACTTACATAATTTTGTGATGCTGATTGGGCAGCATGCCCTCAAACAAGTAAGTCTAACACAGGTTTTCTAGTGAAGATTGGAGATTCAACAATGTCGTGGAAATGAAAGAAACAGACTACAATCTCAAGAAGCTCTGCTGAATCTGAGTATAGAAGCATGGCTTCAGTAGTAGCAGACTTGACATGGCTATTAGGAATGCTCAAAGAAATTGGTCTCAAGTTTGAACTCCTAGTAACTATTTACAGTGACAACAAAGCTGCAATTCAAACAGCAACTAATCCAGTTTTCCACGAAAGAATAAAACATATTGAGATAGACTGTCATTTTATAAGAGAGAAGATACAACAGGGACTTGTGAGGACTGAATATATTAATACCAACGAGCAGCCAACTGACATTCTTACAAAGGGGCTAAACAAAGTTCAACACCTGCACTTAAGGTCCAAGCTAGGGTTACTTAATATATTTACTCCACCTAGCTTGAGGGGGAGTATTGAATATAATGACAAGAATGGGAAGGAAAACAGTTAGTCTAGTAGCTCAGCTCATAGGTTTAAGAAGTTAGTTACAGTCGGTTAAAAGTTAGTTACGAGTCAGTTATATGGTTATGACTTGTGGAGATTTTATTCTTAGAGAAGCAGGAGATAATCTGCTTCTATATAAACATGTAGATGCATACAGAAATGATTAATGAAGAAAAATTCTTCCCTTAGTTCATTCTCTTCTCTGCTCTTCATACTCTCTCTTCTTCTTCTTCTTCTTCTCTTCATCTCCTCAAACTACTGAATTCTTCTATCTATGATCTTCATTTCTTCTTATTAATTGCTTCTAATACTGTTCTTATAATGTACATTTGAATTTCTTCAAGAGGACTATGATTAAATTCTGAAAGTACTTTGTATTTATGCTTAACATGCTGTTTGTAATGCACATGCCCTTCAGTTTGCTACTAAGAGGATTCATTACCTAAATTTTATGTTAATTACTTAATTAATTCAGTTATTGTTTACCCTGAAAATCGGATAATAATTAAATATGTAAGTGGTTTTAAGGATACGCGGATTAATTTGATACAAAGCGATAAATTGAATTGCTATTGAATAAACAAAGACAAAATAAATTCAATCCACGCGAGTTGGATAGTTTTAGCCTTAATGAAATAGTCCCTCTCAAACCGAGCTCACCAAGACCGGTATAGATGAAAAAGAACAAGAGCTGGAGACAAAGAAAATAATAATATAATTGCATTTGACTGCGTGTTACAATGTGTCAAATGAATGATTATACCCCCTTTATTTAGTAGGGGAGTCCTATTTTAGGTACAACACTATAAAAGGTAAAAATATCTTCTGATTCGCTGATTGCTGGTTCCTTATCAATACGTGCTGAGATTTCCACCGTAACATTCGGCCGGTCACAGATATTTCGGCCTTCTGTTGGCTATGTTGGATTGTATGACAATATTCTTCGAATTCGTTCGAGGCTAGGACCGATTTTGGGATCATGGCCTCGATATTCTTGAAGGCAGGTGCCATGCCCCCGGGTTCTAGCCCGGTGGGACTTTGGATCGATTTGGGTCCCTTATTGTCATATCTCGAGCCTGGCTTATCTTGTCAGAGGCTAGGATGCACCACGAGCTCGATTTCACCCGTATACAAATAGTCCCCTCGTATTTCAGAGAGTAAACAACGAGAAACGACATGAGCTTTCGATTCTTACTTCGATACACCGTGACAAAAAAGACAAAAAAATGGAAACGTCTCGTCAGTCAAGTCTTAACGACATTAAATGCATGTCAGCTGCCGGTCGGTCTTCCCTAGATGCAAAACGCCGCTGAACTACTATAAATACCTCCTCCTTTGTTCATTTTAACTTTACATCCAAACCTTCTACCCTCGTACCTTTAAGATTTCAATACTCTTTAGCAATTTTACCCCGGTTATTCGAGTCTCTTTGCAAGATAATTTACCCATCTTCAACTCAAGACAACAAGTATAATCCTTCAATCTTCCTTTCTTTTCCACCTTTCTCAGACTTTCCTCCATTTTTAAAGAAAATGGAAAAGACTTCCAAGACCGTTCCCCAGAAAGAAACTCCTTCAACTTCGCGACCGACTACTGAGACCGATGAGACCGTTTCTCGTGCTGCCGTCGATGAACCAGTACCTGAACCCCCTTTGAAAATGTTCATCCCCGGGGGATGCTCGGTCAACATCAATTTCAATGTTGAAAAGCCTTCCTCCGTACAAGGCCGGTGTGATGAGGTATTGAGATATATCTGCTCGATCACCGAAGAGATCCTCCCTATGGTCCGAAAAGACTGCAACTGGGCCGATACGGACATAGTGGTCCCCGACCTCGACGAAGCCATTAATACCCATGTCGAAGGATACCTAAGTATTTACACTTATCCCTTTGTATTGGGTCTTGTGGATCTGGTCATTTTATATTTCTATAGAAGGTACAACGTGTGCCTAGGCCAGATTCAGCCATCGCTCTGGAGGATCGTTATCCTCATCCGGTTCTTTGTGAACAAAATCGATGGGTTCTCATTCACCATCGGCCATCTTATTCGCTTATACAGTCCTTGAATTGTCTAGGGGGATTGATAAAGCTTGTGCGGCGGGCTAGTGAAACCCCATTCTTAAGTATTGATAATGACCGAGATTGGGGCTGGTAAGGCCATTTTGTCCGAGTAAGGACTTCAGACGTAATCCCAGCCGAGTGCAGGCCATTCCCCCAGAAGTGGAATACCTCAAGTAAGTATGATTTACTTTCGAATGTCGATTTTACACTTACTTATCTTTTTCTTATTGGTGCTTGTTAATGGTGTAGCCGTTGCTCGGGTCCCAAACGCTGTCCCTCGACTCAAGGAGTGGGTTGAGGGTATCGTATCATAGATGCCCTATTCCGAGCACACATGGCGCAAGTTCTCAAAGGGCCGTTGGGAGGCTCGGTCCTACGGTGAGACTTCTTTCCCGAGTAGGTAGTATTAAGATTCCTCTTTTCACATTAAGCCCTTACTCCCTTTACTTTTTTTTCGCATGTTTATCTAAAGATGTGAGTTGAGGCCTCCAGCCGGTGGCGAGGACTTACCTACCGAATCCCCTTCTCCGAGACAAGCCGAAGAGAAGAAAATAAAGAGGGCTCCGAGTTCCCCGAGATTGGAGAAAAAGAAAACAAGGAGAAGGCTGGTGCGGAAGTCAAAAGAAAGCACTGACGCCCGAGCACAGCACCAACTTCGGATTCGCTCTATCGGCTGAGGGATAAATCCGAAGAAGAAGAACCTTTTGTTCTAGTTCCCCGTGAGCCGTCACAACTCGAAAAGTAGGGGGCCACTAAACTAGAGATCCGTGAGGCCGATCTGCCGCAAGCTAGGGAGGTCGATGAGGGGACCAGGGCCGAGGCTTCCCGAGATGCGGGCAGTTCCTCGAAGGAGGCATTCAGTGTGATAGACATCACCGAGTCACCCTCGTTCATCGAGTCCATGTACAACGAGGCTCAAATGGTGATAGAGTGCCCCAATTAGGGGGCCCACTGAGCGGACGACCCCCTGCGCTATATTTTTGATGGCATTGATTCCACCGCCACGGAAAAAGTCACCAGATTGGGTGACATAGAGGTATTGAGGAAGAGTCTGAACTCGGGGGTAGGCGGGCCAAACTCGAACCCAAAATTGGTCAACCGGTTCCTTGTCCCGAGTGTGGATCCGGATCAGAAGCGGTCCATTGTCATTACCGTTTCGGAGGATGCCCGGTTTCTTTTCGCCCCCGTAGGGGTGGCTAGTTACCTCCGGTACCTGGTGACCGAATAAGACCAAACCAAAATGAATGAGGTAGATGCGCCCTGCCTATTCAACAAAGCACAACAGACGCTGAACCGGGTAACCTTAGATAACTCTTAATGATTTCAATTTCTCCTTTTATACTTGAATTAATTCATTGATAATCCTAATATTTTACTTCACATTTGTAGGCGTCGGTGTTTCACTATGAGACTTTCCTCTGATACCGGAATGAGTTGAACCATCTCGAAGCCGAAGTGATAGATCTTACTGAGAAGAGAGACATGTACAAACTTCTCAGTGAGCATCGTGAAGGAGAGGCTAAGAGCCTTCGAGCTGAATTGGAAGTGGCTCGGAAAGAACACGCCGACTTGGTTGAACAAGTAATGTTTTTTACAGTTAGTGATGATGAGCTAGACACGGTGTCTAATGGTCGGAACCCGCAGGTTCAATAGAAGATTGATCGGATCGACTAGCTCCGAGCCGAGATGGATGCAGTCAAGGTCGAGGCCAAAGAGTGGAGAGGCAGGATGGACCACCTGGCCTCGGAAAAAGAGACTGCCCGGGCGCAGTTGACCTCGGCGGAGGTCCTACTTCGAGCGATGAGAGAGAAGAATGAGGCACAGTTTCAAAAGATTGAGGAGCTCCAGTCTCAGCTAAGCTCGGTTGTTTCTGATTGAGAGACCCTTGCCAAGGGGTTTAAGGCGGTCAAGTCTGTGGTTGAAGTAACCAAAGCCGATGCCGACGAGATGGTGGTCCAGTATAAAGCCGATGCCGAGGTAGCCCAGGACCTCCTGAAAGGTATTGTCGAGTATGTAAAGTGGCAGTCCCGAAGGGTGGCCATTTAGGAAGTTCATGCTCGGGGTTTTGATTTGTTGGCCGAGGTCAAAACTGCTAAGGGACTCGAGGATGAGGCCAGAATTTGGCGTATCCCAAGAACAAAGAAGACTCCGAAGGTTCGGACAGATCCGGGGGCGAAGAAGATTCCGATGGTCTTGGCAACGAGGCGGGCTCCGGTGGAGACCAAGCCGTTTAAGTACCTTGTAGATTTGTTTCTTGTTTTTGTACTTTTGTAGTTTTTTGTCAAGGCCGTTTTGCATTTCATATATATATATGACTCTTGTTTTCCCTTCGATAGTTTTTAAGCTCGTTTCCTTTCACTTTTTTCCTTACGTTTGTAAAGATATTAAATGCCTTAGCACATAATAATTAAGTCTTGTTCGGAGGTTTGAGCATGCCTTGCTTTCGATGTTATTTTGTTTAAGACTCGTGGGGGGCTCGGTATGACTAGAATTTTTCCCTAAAATCACTCTCTAACCGAGAGATGTTGAGTGGGTACTTGAGTGTTGATATATATAATACTCCCCGGCCAATAAAACAAGATTTAAAGTTTATTACCCATTAGGCAAACACCTAGGTAACGGTCATAGCCCTAGGACTTTTATATCATTTGGAAAACAACAAAAGCAGTTTCCTAGTTTCATTCTTTGAATCGCAATCGTAGTTTAGTTTAGATTTTTTTTAAAAAAAAAAATATTGCGGAAGTGAAAATATAGATATACAAACTCACGCGCTAAGATATATACTACTAACACCCATTCATATAGCTCCATGCAGAATTCAACCCCGACTCTTGTTGGGTATTACTATTGCATCGACCATTTTCATAACCTCAAAGAGAGGAGTGAAATTGAACGAGATCAATTTTTGGCGCCGTTGCCGGGGAGCTAAAAAATAGTGTTAGCTATATAGTTAGGTGTGTGTTTGGGATATCTTCTTTTCCTTCCTTGTTACTAATGTGTGAGTGTTATAGGTACAATCATGGCAAACAATGATCTCAAAAACATAGCCGTGAGGGGATGTAGATATTGAGGATGATCAAATGGATGAGGTCCTTCTTGAACCTCAGACCAATAGACGAGGCCGAACACCTCAAGACAATGTGCCCGCTCCATCCCCACCTCCACTACGAGCGACTCTACGTAAGGTGTTGCCAAATGAAGGGTATACAAGTGCTATAGTCCATCCCCGTATTAGGATGGGAAACTTCCAAATAACCAACGTGATGCTCACTTTGCTCGAGCAACGAGGGTTCTTCACCGGTACACCGGGTCAAAATGCATATAAACATTTGAAGGGGTTCATAGATACGTGTTGGGGGAGCAAACAAATAAATGTCTCCGAGGATGCTTTGATGCTAAGGCTTTTTCCTTTTTCTCTACGCAGAAAAGCTTTAGATTGGTTGGAACATTTGCCAAATCATTCCATTAATAATTGGGATGAACTAGTGGAGATATTTATTTCTAAGTACTTCTCTCCTGGGCACATGGCTATTCTTCGGGATGAAATTCTAGCATTCAAGCAAGAGCCCAATGAACCACTACACGAGAAATGGGAAAGGTATATAACAATGGTGAAAGAGTACCCCAACAATGATATGACAGAGAACATGATTCAACAAAATTTCTATCGGGGGATCAATACCACCAACCAATGCGTAGTGAACCAACTTGCCGGTGGGAACTTCATGACTATGCCCTATGCGGAGGCGTGTGATAATTTGGATGAGATGGCGGATACTTCATTGGTGTGGAAATCTAGAGCCAATGTTCCACAAGGTGATCTAAATGTGATTCTTCTTTATAAAGAGTTACATGACCATGGGCAAGCCATAGCCGAGTTGACAACCACTATGAACCAATTGTCAAAGGCTCAACTTCAACAAGTACAAAACCCAAGGCAAGTTAATGCCATGGAGGGAGTCAATATGATGGTAAATAAGAGAAGAACAAGAAGTCCACAAGTGCAACAAAGAGTGGACAATCTTGTGCAATATGATAATGGATTTGATCAAGGTGATTCTTACAATGATCCAGAGAAAGAGGTCCAATATATGAACAACTTTCAAGGGAAAAGAAACAACTTCCAAGTCCCTAGTCAACAACAATGTAGACCTTCAAATAATCAAGGCAATTAGAATTCTAACAACCAAGGTAATTGGAATAGTGAAAAAAATCAAGGCACTTAGAGTGGAAGCAATAACCAAGGGAATTGGAAAAACAATAACAATCAAGGAAATTGGGGAGGCAACAACCAAGGCGGGTGGAACAACAACCAAGGAAATCAGGGGTCGGGTTTTCAAAGGCCCCCGATGAATCAATAACAGAGCAACCCACCTCCTTATCCTTCTCATGGTCCTAGTTTCTCTAACAATGAAATGAGTCGTAATGAGAACATGTTCAAGCAAATTATGTAGAAGAATGCTGATTCTGATGCCCAACTTGCTTCACACAACACGTCAATCCGAAACTTAGAAGTGCAAATGGGTCAAATCTCTCAAGCTTTAAATTCTCGTCCTAAGGGGGTACTACCAAGTGATACGGTGGTGAACTCGAAGGGTGGGAACACTACTGGGTATGCCATGGCCGTTATTACAAGAAGTGGAAGAGGTGGGAATGCACCTACCTCAAGTCAAAGGCAACTTGTGGATGATGAGAAACTAGTAGAGGAAGAGGAGATCCCAAACAATGTTGTGCAAACAAATGAGGAAGTGTGGATTGATATTGATGACATGATGGAAGAGACTCAAGAGGATGTGAACCTATCTAGGGATCATGTGATTGACATACCGGAACCGGTAGTGCAAAAAGCTAAGGCACCATTGCCTAAGCCACCTCCTCCCTATCCTTAAAGGCTTGCCAAGAAAAACAGTGAGAATCAATTCAAAAAGTTCATTGATATGATGAAGAGTCTCTCGATAAATGTGTCATTAGTTGAAGCCTTGGAGCAAATTCCCAGATATGCAAAATTTATGAAGGACTTGGTGACAAATAAGCGGTCCATGAATTTTGAAATTATCAAAGTCACTCACCAAGTGAGTGCAATTGTGCATTCTATGGCTCCTAAGTTGGAAGATCCCAGTGCTTTCACAATACCTTGTACCATTAGAAGTTCCGAGTTTGCAAAAGCTCTTTGTGATCTTAGGGCGAGTATCAATTTGATGCCCTATTCAGTTTTCAAGATATTTGGAATTGGGCAACCAAGACCCACATCTATGAGATTACAAATGGCCGATCGTACAATGAAGAGACCATTTGGGGTGATTGAGGATGTATTGGTTTGAGTTGACAAGTTCATTCTCTCGGTGAATTTTGTTATTCTTTATTGTGAGGTGGACTATGAGGTCACGATTATTCTTGGTAGACCTTTCCTTGCTACGGGGAAGGCTCTTGTTAATGTGGAAGCCGGTGACCTCACTTTCCGGGTGGGTGATGAAAAGGTAGGCTTCTACGTGTGCAAATCTATGAAGCAACCGAATAGCAATGAAGTGTATTCGTTCGTGGACTTGGTGACCGATGTGATTATTGATTATACAAGTGCCACGATTAATGTGGGTGACATGTTAGAGGCGTCTTGCTGAATTTTGATGATGACGAGATGGATGGCTTCATGGAATGTGTTAATTCTTTGCAAGGAATGGGGTCGTACAACTATGCACCCCGGAAGCTTTCCTTGGATCTCGAGAATATGAAAACTCCTCCTACAAAGCCTTCAATTGAAGAGCCTCCTATCTTGGAGTTGAAGCCATTGCCTCCACATCTCATGTATGAATTCCATGGCCCTTGTTCTACTTTACCAGTTATTCTTTCCTCTTGTTTGACTAACGTGCAGGTTGACTGTACATTGGCGGTGCTCCATAAGAGGAAGAAAGCTATTGGGTGGATTTTGGTGGATATTCGGGGAAT